CTCGCACGCTGTTCCACGACTTTCCTCGAGTTCTTAGGTCGCATAAAATCGATAAAGAAAAACGAGACTGTAGCGTTGATTAATAGATCGATTAACCTTTAACGAGAAAGTGAAGTCGAAAGATAGTGTCGAGAGATAAAGCGAGTTGTAAAATACCTAAAACAATCAATAACTGAACGGTTAGTAATCGTAAGCAATCAAGGAGTAATATCCTTTTCTAAATTAACTATGTTAACCATAATTGTTAACCATTTTCCATCGAGCGAGTGTGCGGATCTATATAAAATTAATTTCGATTAAAAATAAAATTTTTATTTATTGCGACAAGAATTCATAGAATTTTAATCAATTAATGAATCGTAAAATAAAAACTTAAAAAATTATAGATATAATATTTTTTTAATAGAGACTGAGATAAAAACAAATGATTTATTTATTATTTTATTTCGAAATAAATAAATATATATATATAGATAAAAATTAATATTACAATGTAATTTACAGTAAATTAATAAATAAATTAATAAATAAATTAATAAATAAATGATAAAATATTTTTTGTTATTTTTGTTATTATGAAATCTTCCATCTAATATAAATACTATTAGATTCGTGTAGATTAAAGCGATGAAGAAGAAGAGTTGGATATAGAGAGATACATATAAATAGATAGAGAAATAGAAAGTTAGAAATAGGGAAGAGAGAGAAAGAGAGAGAGAGAGAAAGAGAGAAAGAGATAGAAAGGGAGAAGTAAAAGGAAGAAGGAATAAGAGAAATCGTAGAGAGCATGGATAGGACATAGAAACCAAATCCAAAACGCGAACTTGCAAGGGCAGTGTACGTGTCGCGTATCCATCACTGTCTAACTGTAGAGAAGGTTCATCGAAGTTGTTTCGCCAACTGGATTTCGTCATTGTCGAGAATCCAAGCTAACACACGAGATATACATACTAGTGCGGCCTCTAATACCATTAATTTCATTACAGAACGTAGGTACATTGCGCGTTTAGATATATCGGACCGATTCTACCTTCTCGTTTCCTCTGAATTTCGACTGAGTTTACGATTCGGAACAATTTCTCTTTCCTCCTCTGAAGAAACTCCTTCTCCCTTAACGATTTCTCTCTTCTTACATACTTAAGTAAGTATTTACTTTCTTGAGTTTATCCCGCAAAAAGAAGTTTTAAATAGAAACTCTTTAATACGTATATTAATAATAATCGTAGGAAGGATAACTTTCTATACGCATAAGGGAGCAAAAGTAGTTCCTGTATATTCCAAAAGTTAAGCTTGAACCAAGGCTGAGTTTATTTATCGCTATGCTTATTCTATACGTTTACTTCCTTCCTTGTTTTATACATTTTCTATAAGTATACACGTGACCGAATTCAAGGAAACTCAATGTCCCGAATAACCCCTCCCCATCTCCTCCCCCGCTTGTTTATGTTTTTCGTATGACTTCATACGCGCATAAGTAAATATGTACTATACGTAGTAAATGCTGACAAAGCAAATTCGTTTCGTTTGAAAGATCGTGAATGTATAGAAACACATGAGTCAAACGCGTAATACGTAATACTTTTGAGGAAAAATCTTTGAGAAAGAGAAAGAGAGAAAGAAAGAAAAAAAGAAAAGGACAAAAGAATAAAATTATTTTACGTTAAAAGTATTACGTGGATATTTGTACATAATATCGTTTCATTTCTCTTGAGATTTTTCTATTAATGAAATGTATATGTATAAATGAAATTGAAATAAATTCAAAAGTATTGTATTGAAATATACATTTGCTTTATGGACAATATCCTTATTTACATTACAAAATGTAGATGTTTGCGAATTCTTAAAGCTCCAAAGATAAGGGGTATTGCAAGAGCTTTCTAGCTGAAACGCAGTTTCAAGATTGCACGAGGTTATCAAATGAATAACAGGAAATACGTTTAAGTTTCATGAGCTTTTTGTCAATATAGCATTTGTCTTTGAAGATTGCGAATGAGACGATTACAAGACCGAATGAAGTTAAAATACTATCGGATTTACGATCACTCAAATATTTCGAATTTGCGAAATTTCGAACGCACGAAAGCATTATGACGATTGCAGCTATGAGGATACAATACAATAGGAATAATTTATGATGAACATTAAAGTTTCAATTGAAATTGTTAATTAATCATATATAAAAAATTACGATTTAAGAATGGAAATAAATAATATCTAATCGAAGATTTTTGAATGAAGCACGATCAAACCATAATCGAATTAATAATTAGTCAACTAAGCAAATCGATTATTAATTATCAAAGTTAAGAAATTTATATTACAGGAATATAACGAATAATAGGAATGATTCAATTGAATATACATTTAAACGAATCACTATTCATTCGATAATAAAATTCCGTGGATAAAATCTACTCGAATTAACGCAGAGAAAACGAAGTAAGATCTTTCTTTAATCTTAATGCATTTTCTTCTTCCAGTTTTTTTTTCTTCTTCCTATTACTCTTAAACTCTCCGACCCCAATTCTGATCTTCCCTTTTTTCTTTTTTTTTCTTTTTTTTTTTGTTTTTTCTTTTTTCTTTTTCTTTTCCTTAACCTACTTCTTCTCTATTCCCTTTTTGTGTGTACTTATGTATAATACTGTTGTACCATTTACAAGATAATATACATAATCCAGGAATAAAAAATATTCTTTAAAATCTATTATCTGATATTAAAAATTCGATGATTTATTTATTAACTTCAGGGATAGAAAAGAAGATTGCATTGTATGAAAATTATATTATCCAACAAAAAAAAAATTAACGAAGAAAAAATAAATAAATAAAAGAAAAATAAATGATCAAAGGCTCATTGAAATTATCAGCAATTTCATCCGCCACGAAACGTTTCTTCTGTATTCAATGAAAAGAAAGTCATTCCGTCTGGGAATAGTTCTTGATTTAGGCGATATAGTCAAAAGTATATATCGAAAGGATAGATAACGTAAAGACGATTGCTTCCATCGTGCGAAAGGACTCGATCTCGAAGCAATTTCGTCAGTTAATGGTTCCTCGATACGGTGAAATCGAACCTATTGAACGCGATCCTACTGAAATAATGGTGGAACTCTGTAGAAAAAACTAATTCGACGAGAATCGCGATACTTTTTGAAAATCCCGTATTACCATCGTCTACGAAGTTTTGTTGAAATACATAGTAACCACGTTAGAAATTAATTTCAATCGAAGAATATAGAGTTTAAATAACTTCATAAGTATATTATACTTGAAATTTAAAGCCATACTCAATAATATTTTTCATTCATTTTAATTCACTCCTTTCATAACGTTTTATTATAAAATTAAATTTTTTTATAACATCGCGCAATAAAGTAAAAATGATACTCTCATACACATACTATATTCGTATTTTCTTTTTCTTTTTTTTTTTTTATTTTATTATTCATTTTATCATGACAAAAATTAATTTTCACCTTATATCCATATTTTTATTACGAGTTATACTTACTATAATACATTATTTGTACCAATATAAGTAATACTATAATTTCACATTGTTCAACTTTTTTGTAAATATGAAAAAAGATTAACGAAAGATCGATTTCAAGGTAATACCGTATCTACACGATTAATTTTCGTCGATCGTAAATTTTCCAATATAATTAATCATTTTCTTAGACGTTTTCAACGACCGTCTTTAATTTACTTTGATTCGCTTCATCTTTAGAAAAAGCAATGTGCGGATGAGAGAAATGCACGGGAGTCCGCCCTTTCAGTTTTTAGTTCAAAACGTTCGTTCTGTTTTGTTTTAAAACGTCGCGTTTTCTTATAGTAACGTAACTAATCTCGCACGAAAGGAGTCGCCACAGAAATTGAATTACTCGTACGTGTCCTGTGCCAAGAACCAGATAAATTCGCCACTGGGAGACGTTTGCCAGAGCGACGACAATCTTTCCGACATATTAACGCGTTATAGCTTCGAGCCCGTCGTACACGCCAACGTGAGATCATAAATCCTCTTGCCTTTATTGCGTTGGCATTAAGAAACAAAAGGAACGAAACGGACGGAATAGAAAAAAAAGAGAAAAGAAAAGAAAAGAAAAAAAAAAGAAAAAAAAGAAAAGAAAAAAAAATTCTTTAAATTTATCAACTCGCAATATGGAATGTATACACGTTGAGATTTTTATCAAACAAATATATTTGTCGAACGTTATTATACGATTTATTTCAATATTTATATTTTTTATATCGAATGAAATATTTCAATTCACCAATAATAAAATAAAACTTTCTTTGATATGTTAACTATTAAATAGTGCATAATTAAATATATATATATATATATATATATATATATATATATATATATATATATATATATTAATTCTATGACATTCGTAATACTTTTTACTTAAAATATTTAAGATAATTCGTTGTAATATTTTGTTTCACTTTAGAAATTTAGTTCGTCCTTATGAACGTAGAGCAAAAGTTATCTTAAAAACGTTTAAAATAAATTCTTTAATGAGATTGACGTTAAACGTGTTAATTGTCTGTAATAAAGAATTATTTTAATCGATCGAACGTTTAGAATATAAATTATTTGTCGAATTTAAAATTTTATTTTTACGTTATAACGATAAATATTTTAAAATATTTAAATAGATAAATCAAACGATTATTCGTTTAAATTGTTTCTCTACATTTAACTTACTCTTTAAACTTTCTAGATTTCTTTTCTTTTCTTTTTTTTTCTATTTTTTGTTTTTTTGTTTTTTTTGTTTTTTTTTCCTTTTTTACTTTCACTAAAAGAGAAAAATAAAAGAAGAAAGCTTTCTCGTCGAAAGGTGAACGGAAGAAACATCAATGATTCCGTGCTCCGGAAAATCGGAAAACTCTTTTCTCGCCTTTTCTCTTCCATTTCTTTCAACGTTTTCCTAGGTTGCACAAATATTTCACGAGGCTCGGTCACAGTAAGATAAACTGCTTTGCAGAAAATGGGCTCCGTTCATGGTGAGGAGCTACCTTTCGTCTTTGGCGCCGCTTTGGTAGACGGATTCGCACACTTCCCGAAGAATTACACGCGATCTGAGGTGGCACTATCGGAGAGCATCATTCAATATTTCGCCAATTTCGCTAGAACTGGGTAAGTCTTCAATAATTTCATTATTAATCCTAATTATTCCCGATGGAATGTAAAACACTCTCAGATCAATTTTGAGCTCAATTAAAACAATTTCATGCGCACTGCATGATGCGTGAAATTTTTTTTTTTTTTTTTTTTTTTTTTATAACAGAATTGAAAATGCATTTTCAAAGCTAATGATTATTATTTCCGAAATTTCAAAGAATATTTATTTTAGAGACAAAATTAAACAGTCTGTATAAATGACAGCTGTTCAAAGTGCCTGAGGTACTTCAGCGCATCCCAAGTGCATAAATTGAAATTATTTTGAGGTGTGCACAAGTAGAGTTAACCTATTGGTGGAATTCAATTCGTTTCTAAAACGGTATAAAAATTCGTTTGTAACGTCAAAACAATAATCATATCATTGACATTCTAATATCCATTGAAACGAACGATATATTGTATCTATTTACAAAAAAAAAAAAAAAAAAAAAAAAAAAGAGAAAAAGAAAAAAGAAGGAAAACAAAATTTCTACCAGAACATATTTTTTATCCCCTTATATTATTAATATTAAATAAATCATATTTTTACAAATTAAATTTATTATTCGTGAAAATAGATCGTATATCGTATCTCATATTCCATTCCTCAAAATATGAAAGAAAAAAATGCCGATTAACGAGTTACGATATGAATATTAAAAAAATCATGCCATTCGATATTAGTGGATTATGACTGGATAGATAGATATTTCATTTGCACACATAAATCACGCAAATATTATTTGGTTACGTATGGTTTAATCAAAACTAGCATCTCTGAAATCTGGAGGGGATTAAGTGATTACATCATTAGGATTTGAATATTAATCAATCACTTGTAATTATTTATTTATTACGCTTTCGAACAGCATTTTGCAAACTAACGTATAATATATTATATATACATGTGTGTGTGTGTGTGTGTATATATATGGTATTGAAATATATCCACGTAGTCATATTGTCCAAGATTTCAATATAACTTTATTCCATTTTTGATTATAAACTCTTTGAAGATATTCTTTGTTCTTCTATACCAGATCGAATCCTTTTATAACATTTGCGGCATGTCGTTAGTGAGACAAGAAAATTTGCATCCCTATTAGAAATTCAAAAAGGCCGCATAACATCTCAGCGCCGTCTCGCTTAACCGAGCTCGTTTGATAACGTATAGATACGAAGATAGGTGCTTCATTTCGACGGAATCGAATCTTTCAAATGATACCAACTATCGCACGGCATTCGCCAACGTGCCAATCGTGATTTGCATGGTTACCATTCATTTCGATATTCGCGATTATCGCGGTAAGATCGACCCTTCGTTCATCTTTTAAATCGAGTTCGTTAAAAAATAATGGCTCGTTGTCGGTTAACCGACGATAGGAGCGATCTCCTTTTTTTTTCTATTCTTTCTTTTCATCTTCTTTTATATTTCTTTTTATTTTCTTTTTCTTTTTTTCTTCTTCTTCTTTTTTATAATCGCGAAATAACTTTTCCGTTTCTTCGTTTCTCCGTTCGTACAACGACGTATGGTCGAATTTTCTCAATCGTTCCCGAAACGAGTTCACTCGTTGGATACGCGAATCGAGTTTCATGAAAAATCGAAAGATACAGTAGGATAAAAGAGATAGAGAGAAAAAATTGAAAGTGAAAAAAAAAAAAAAAAAGAAAGAAAAGTAAAAGACAAAATAGAAAAAAAAGAGGATTGAAAAAAAAGAAAACAATAAAAAAAGTTGAAAATACAGAGAAAAGTAGATAAAAAAAAAAAAAGAAAAAGAGAGAGAGAGAGAGAGAAAATATTTTTTTTTGTCCGCGGTCACGACGGAAGGAACGAATTTTCATCTCGCTTCCTCATGAATATGGAAAATTAGACCTTTCCGGTAGATAGGTCTCCTCGTTTCTTTTTTAACGCGCTTCCCGTAAATTGATTTCGCACGACGCGGCTGGTACGATGCTATTCACGTGACTTGTTTCTAATTCCAAGAGGAAACGAAGACGAATGGATGATGTTCTTTGTCAAATCTAACGAATATTTATTATATAAATCTAATCTAAACAATTGAATAATACAAAGATAGACATTAATGTATTTTCTCGAACGAAAAACTAAATTTTCTTGATCCAGTATAATTATTTCTCTTTATCATTCACTATCGTTTATGTTCCCCGTCAATTGTTTTCGTTCAAATGAAAAAATATTATAAAAAAACAAAAACAAAAAAATATATATATATATATTTATATTTATTAATTTCCAACATTATTATTTTTCTCGATGAGATTATTACTATCACGTTTTTTATCAATTATTATTGTTCTAACGTAAAAAGTATTGTCTAAATGAAAACTTATATACGTGTATAGTAATTTGTAATAAATATATAAAATCGCAATTCTTTTTTCTCAATAGTATTATTATTGCATTCACTTCCGAATTGTTTTAATATATTTAAACAAATTCTATCAAACGATATCATTTTGTAGCACGTACATCGAACTAAATCCAAGCAGATCAATTGCCATAAAGCTTATCGTCTTACAAACTCGACTCGAAACGTTCACGACGGTGGTTCTCGATCTCGAAGAGGAAAGATAACACAACATCCCTCCTTCTCCTCCTCCTCCTCCTCCTTCTCCATCGTTTCCGTCTCCTCCTTCTCTCGTTATTCCTCTCTCTCTTGATCCTTCTCCCCTTTTACGTAACATTCTCGTCCACCAACGAACACGTCTGTCTATAGCTTAGGCTACGAACTGCACAAACTCGATCCCATCGCAAAACTAGCAAGTTATTGGCGACATATGCGAAAGTACAGACCCCATACTCTTCATGAATATTCAAAAGTTAGCTTGAAACAAGCCAACGACGATATTTCGATCCGTTCGAGTCAAGTGAAATTTCCTTCGTCCGATAGTCTCAAATTCTCAATCATAAGATTCTCAAACCAATGTGTATGCGCTTATAGAATGATGTGTCAAGAATTTTGCTAGAACAGGAGATCTTAAAGGATCTTAGAACAAATTATTTTAACAAACTAATTTCATTCTTATTTCGTTTTATAGTATATTTTTTAAATAATCGTATTAATCGATTATTTTATATATATATATATATATATATATATATATATAATATATTTATGTATAAATAATTTATAAACAATTAATGTTTAAAATAAATTATATCTATTCGATATAATATTATATCGATATAATATTATATTATTATATCGCAAGCATTTCCTTCTTCTTATAATATAACCTTTTATTCTAATAGAATTTATTCCCTTTTCCATTTTGTTATCACAAGACGAGATTTGCTTCAACAGACGAAAAGAGGAAAGGAAACGATCAAGAAATCACAACACTCACACCTTCTCCTTTCACATGTACATAGTACCTTTATCAGACTAATGGTATTATCCCTTCTTTCGTATTTATAGCCATTTATTATGTATACATGCTCCCTTTCATCGAAATTCTACCATGATTTCTACTAATACCTGCTTACCTTTGACGAAATTTTTCAAGATAATGTATTAATAATTAAAAGGGTAGAGAGAACATAAAGGGGAATTAGAAAGGAAGGAAAGGAAGTATAAAATTAAATGAAATTAATCCAAATGGATTTAACGTAAGACTTTTCCATCGTTTAAATCGAAATTCGAAAAAAGATTAACTTTTAATCAAGTTAAGTTCAAAGATAACAATATTCAGATTAAAACTTGATATGATACAAATAAGTAAAGGCTAAATTTTAAAAGAAATATATCAGATTAGATATCTTTCAATAAATAAAATAAATGTGAATATTAAGTTTGATTAGATGATAGATATATAACTATATTAGCGAGCTAATTTATGAACTGTTGATAAGATCGAATAAACTATTTTTTTTATGATAAATACATAAAATCGTAATTGAATGATTTGAAGAACTAAATAAATAACCCCTTGAAATTAAGCAAGGAACAATTTCTTAATATTATCTATGATCATAAACCAAGAGGAAAAGATTTCTCATATTCTTCTTGAACTCTTATCTACTATTTTCTATTATATATTGTTTATATCCTTTTCAACTCGATTCTTGATAACGGAACAATCTTCTATTCTTTTCTGTCACGTGTAAGCTTTATCATTCGATCATTTCTGTTCTTTTTCCGATCGAAAATCTTCGATACTTTTGTCTCAGGTTTCTGTTACTATTGTTTCTCCTAAAACCTATTTGTACGACTTTTACTGTCCGTTACGTTTCTACTGTATTTCACTAGTCTTTGATTTTTCTTTCTCCATTGTAGAACCCTCATGTCATCCAAATCGATTATTTCGTTTAACGTAAAATCGTACTCCATTCTCTCTTTGAGAGTTATGTCATTTAATTAATTAAACGTTTAACACAATAAAACATTACAATATGATATTATACAAAGAATTGATATTCGAATATAACATATTGTAATGACTTATCTTATATATATAAAAGATATATATGTATATTTATATATGTGTATATATATATATATATATATATATATATATATATAGTGTTATATAACGCATAGAGCAGGAAGCAATATTGGCGTTTGAAGAAGGAGGTAGAAACCCTTCAAATTTCCCGAGTTTTTCTTTCAACGTCTCTTTTGTTATACCTTCGAGCTTCCGTCGTACAAAGGGAAGTGTCGTTGTACAAGCGCGTACATGTGTGTGTGTGTGTGTGTGCTAAGTCTCTCTTTGGTGTGTGTATATATGTGTGTGTGTGTATATATATATATGTGTTTGCGTATTTGTGTATGTGAGAGAGAATCTTTCCTTTGATCAAAACGTTCTATTATTTTAGTAATAATTGGAAAATCGATTATTTTACTTTCATTACCGTTCGAGATCGATATTAACCAATTGTATTAACTAATCGGACCAATTTTAACGAATTGAAAAAAAGAATGAAATAAATCGTTCGACGCTAACTGTACGATTAA